AGTGTCAGCTTAGACTATGCGATTCCAAATCCCGGTCTTGGAGCTCAAACCCACAACCATCTGAGGCGAGAGCGCTACTGACTAGCGGTGTTCCTAAATGCATTCTTTAAATCAGGAATGGAATGTGTTGGGGACAATTTAACCCAGCGTTTCTTTCCTCTCCCTTTTAGTATAAAACCTTACATTGTCGGCTTGTTCTCTGATGATCGGGGTAGCTTGCAGACCCACTTTTTTTCAGAGCCCCTCGTAGGTCCGTGGAGATATCGCTCTACCACTCAGCCACTACACCCTGAAACTCTGGAACACTCTTCCTCGATCCCTCCTCATTGTGCCCTCCTTCCCCATCTTCAGATCGCACCTGAAGACCTTCCTCTTCACAGAAATAGCTATTTGTAGATGAGCACAGCAACCAATTTATGCACAGTTTATGGTTGTCTCCCTCCCTCCAGCTCAGTATCGTGCTCCACCACTATCAAGTAATCTGGGACTCTACCCTGCATGAGGGGCTATATATCAATGCAAGTTGTTGTTTCTGTGCTTCCCCTGGAAGGAGGGCCTCTCCTTTTCTCTTTCCTTCTCTTTCTTTTTTTCCCTTCTTTCTCTTCCTCTTTTTTTCACTCACTCGCCCTCCCTCCCCATGTCCACTCCGAAAAGACTGCCCTTGAGGAACTCTCATGAAATGTGCTGCACAGGATTCAAGGCAGCTGTGACCTCTGGGTTTGGGTGATATCTGATCCTTGTTAACTCCTGGAGGGGGAGGGGAGATTTAGTCGTGCCCGGGGAGGTATTAAGCTCCAGTTTATACAGCACTGACAATGTCCCAGTATTGTCGTGGTGATTGTTTCACAAGTGTCTTAATCCCACCCTTGACCCTGGATATCCCAGCAAAGCCAGGGCAAAACCAGCCCCTTCTCTGGGAAGATCTAACTTGCCAAAGTTTTAGGTAATCCTCCTTTTGGGGGTTTGAGGGGGGTAAGCAGGGCTTCCTTGGAGCTGAATTGGCTCCAAGGTGACATGTTTGGCAATGGAATATGGTAATCGAGCCAGCCCTCTGTGGTTGGTAACTTTTTTTTTAATGTTTTTGGTTGGCCGGTGTATGACGTGCGGAAACCCATCACCACGTTTAAGAGTGTCCAAACCAAACTGAGAATCCACGCATCCATCAGGGATGACTCCCCGCCCCCACTGACTGCTCTGACCTTCCAGGTCCAGCCGATGAACCGAGCCGGGCTGTGCTGTCATCAGCAGTGCCCTGGCATACTGCGGACCCGCCTGGCTCAGGAACCAAACTAGAGACCATCACAGAAAGTGGGCTCGATTCTGACATTCCTTTAATTATATTTTTATCATTGCAAGCCAATACCTTAACGAGTAGGTTGGCTTAGCTGGATAAGCAGAGGGTGCCTCACTAGCAAGAGCTTTCAATGGCAAACTATGCTGCTTAAGATTGCCTTCCTGGAGTCCTGTAGAATATTGCTTAGAGACTTACCTCGCAAGCAAGAGGACCTGGGAGTAATAATCGCTTCAAAAATAAACAATAATAATTTGCTCACTCAAACCACGGCTGTTTGTGGGACGCTGCTGTGTGCAATTGGCTGCCGCGTTTCGCCCACAAAATACGCAGTCGATTCACTTTACAGTATATTCTGCGAAGCGCTTTGAGACGTCTCAATGACGTGATGATGTGCTATGTCAAATGCAAGTATTATTGCTTTTAAGGAACACCGCAAATTTTAACCCTGTCTTCCGTACCCTCTAATGAATCTACAAACTGCCGAATAATGCAAGTTTAAAATGACCACTGAGTAAGAGTACAGGAGCAAGGCTTTGTATAAGCTGCTTCTTGTATTACAGTAATAGTAATAATAATGCTTGCATTTATCACGTCTTCAAGACGTCTCAAAGTGCTTCACAGAATAAACTGTAAAGTGAATTGGCTGTATATTTTGTGGGCAAAAAGCAGCAGCCAATTGCGCACAGCAGTGTCCCACAAACAGTCGTGGATTGAGTGACCAAATTATTTTTTTTGAAGGAATTATTACCGCCGGAAAAGCTAGCTGCCAATCGACTAACAACCAGACTCCTACTTACTGCTAACGTTTCTCCCTGCTGGGAATCCAACCCAGGACCTCTCGCTTGTGAAGCTGGTGCCCTAACCACTAAGCTACAGGATTCCATAAGCTGCTTCTCGTATAAGCTGCCTGTGGTATAAACAGCCTCTACTGTTAGTTCTCCTCGGGTAACCTGTCCCAGTGACTTGGTTGCCTGAGGACATCACTGGTCGGTTGTAACAAGATTACACGCTCACATCTGCTCTGTAAACTTACCACAAGAGCTGACAGACAGACCCTGTTGTACACCAAAAAAAAAACTCCAAACTCATCAATTACATTTATGGGCATTAAACAGTCTCAGTTGTACATTCATTTATTTACATTTATATACTGTAGCTCCTTATTTGTCTGGAGCAAGTTTTATTTTTAATTTACTCCCAAGCCTGGGGGCGAGGATTCCTCCTGCTCGGCTCCTGTTAATATAATAAGGATACTAATCCTTGCATTTGATCACGTCTTCGAGATGTCTCAAGGAGCTTCACAGAATATATTGTAAAGTGGATTGACTGTGGGAGAAACGCGTACAGCAGTGTCCCACAAATAGTAATGGATTCAGTAACCGTCCAAATCAAAAGCCCTAAAGGGTAGTGTGGTTCTAGCTGAACGAGCAGCGGGGAAGCTTGCCAGACAGCGGCAAGCTCTGTGGCTTTTAGCTGGTTAGACTCTAAACATTTATCCCCATCTGACGCCCTCTGCCTCCCACCGCCAAGCCTTAGCTCTTGCCAACCTGTGCCTAATCCACTCGGGAATTAGGTAAGCCGGATGTGTCTCTCCAGGGAGAGAGTGCACATTCCATAAGCGAAACAGAGCAATTTTCATGTGTAGATGACATTCTGTGGTGTTATTTGGAAAGTGAAGTTGTTTTCAAAGGGCGTGGGGGGAGTTGTGCTTATCTGGGTCTCGCTGGGTAGGGATCCGGAGCAAGGATTCCTGGCGGAATTTCTCTCAATTTATGCACAGTAACGGCCCACAGACAGCCATGGAGTAAGTGACTGATTTTGTTTTGGGGGATTGTTGGCCAGGACACGGGGGGGGGGGGCGGGGGGGGGAGAGAACAACAACTTGCATTTATTTATATAGCGCCCTTCGCAGGTTAGCATCTCAGAGCGCATCGCAGTCACCGTAAGCACGATCAAAAAAGGAAGGTCTTTAGGCAGGATTTGAAGGTGGGGAGGGAGGCAGTAAGGCAGAGGCACCGAGGGAGAGAGTTCCGGGGAAACTACCTTCTGTTTTTGAATACTGTTATGGCATCTTTAACACCACCTGAACAGGCAGACGGGACCTCGGTTTAATGTCTCTTCCGAAGGCCGACACCTCCGACAATGCACATTAAGTTCATCCAAGCTCTGTCTGAGAGGTGAGAGTGCAAGCGTCGGAGCTATGCCCCCTGCCAGGAATTGATGAACCTAGGGGGAAGCTTGTTAGTAGGAAAATGTTAATCAGTTAGTAAAATGCATGTGTGTATTGGATAGTAGGAAAATGTGTGTGTGCACGCAAAGGTCTATTTAGAGGAGAATTAGATAATCACGTGAGGAGGCAGAGTATTAGAGAGTATGGGATAGGAGCCAGGAATTGGGATTAGGATGGATGGCTTCATTGAAGGAGCAAACACAGATATTAATGCAATGTCTTGAATGGCCCGTTGCAGTTTAGCATTGTTGTCGATCTGCGTTGGGTGAAAAATGGTTAATGCGCATTCTAAACAGCCTATATCAGGCTCTGCAAATATTTGTGTTACTCCCAATTAAACTCTGGCCTTGAGACATCTCCTCTTGATTTAATCTTTCCTTTTTTTTCTCTCTCTCTCTCTCTCACACTCGCTTCTGAATTTTGGTCTTTGATGTTTAATGTATGAGGGGCTTGTTTTTTTCCTCCATCTTCTGATCAAACCTGTGACCAGTGGATAATAGCAGTAGTTATAATAAAAATAATAATCCTTGCATTTGATATAGTGCCTTTCACATCATTTGACATTCTGAAGACTCAAAGCTCTTCAAAGATTTTACTATGTGACTAATTAATGATGATAATCCTTACATTTTTGTAGTTTCTTTTACGTCAGGAGGACGTCCCAAAGTGCTTTGCGTAAATATACTGTAAAGTTTAGTGATTGTATTTTGTGAGTAAATGCGGGAGCCAATTTGCACACAGCAAATGTCCCACAAACAGCCTTGAAGTGACTGACCGATTTTTATCGGGAGTTTGTTGGCCAGGACACCGGGAGAGAAAAACTCCCTTCCCTTTTCAGATAGAGCAAATGCTATGAATTTGGTAGGCAGCTGAACCACAAAGAGACATTGTTTGCAGGAACTTTTTTGTGTGGACTGGCAGGGGATGGAGAATCTTTATGGGTGGGCTGGGGGACGAGACACACGTGTGTGTGTGTGTGTGTGTGTGTCCTGGCTAACAATTGCAAATATAAAATTGGTCACTCACTCTGTGGCTGTTTGCGGGACTTTGCTGTGCGCAAACTGGCTGCTGTATTTTGCACTAAACGCTGTGAAGCGCTTTGAGACGTTTCGCCAACGCTGTACCAAAAGCGAGAATTGTTACTGTATTTATTATAACGTGAAAACCGGTGCCACCGACACTTGCCTGCAAAGTCACTACACCCGATGGCATTTGCACGTTGAAGTGCTTTGAGACATCTCATGTTTAATCAAGCGCTCCGAGACATTACCCTGTGGGATGGGCGCTATATAAATCCAAGTTGTTGTTGTTGCTGTTGGTGGGTGGGGGGCGGAAAGGGAGAAGGTGCCCTGAAAATTCCAGCAGGTTTTTGTCTCCCACTGTCCTGATACCCGGTTGACCACAAACAAAATCCCGGAGCTGTGACGTAGCTTGTGATTTATTTCTCTCGTCTTGCTTTGTGTTTTTGGTTTGCAGTTGACGTTCTAGAAAAGCCCTGTGTCACGGGCTCGGAAGTGCCGCCTCCCAGATCGGAGACTCCGCCGCTGAAACGGAAAAGCAAACTGGCGTCCATCGGCAAGATCTTCAAACCCTGGAAGTGGAGGAAGAAGAAAGCCAGCGAGCAGTTCCGGGAGACGTCCGTGTGTGAGTACCCAGGTGCCAGTGTCGACAGCAACAACGGATTACACTTGTATAGCGCCCTTCACGTCGGAAAGCCGTCCCAGGGCGCTGGATAATCAGGTGTTTTTAGACACGAGCTGGGGTCAGGAGGGGTGGAGGGCAGGGCGGTTGGGAGGATGGCCGAAGCGGAAGGTCTTTAAACGTGACTTGAAGGAGGCAAGCGAGGGGGTGAGGCCGAGTAATTGTGGGATAGAGTTCCAGAGTGTGGGGGCAGAGATGCTGAATGCCCGACCACCAATGGTGGGGCGGGAAGTGTGGGTGACATGAAGCAGGGCGGTGTCTGCTGAGCAGGGGATGCAGGCAGGCTGATATGCAGTTAAGAGGTTGCAGCGGTAGGGGGGAGCAAGACCGTGGAGGGCTTTGAGCAACAAACAGCAAATTAAGTTTGTATAGTTGCCTTTCACGTCGGTAACACGTCCCAAGGCTGCATGTTGTTGGGTAGCACACTCGCCTCTGGGTCAGAAGGAAGTGAAGTCCTGTAGCGTAGTAGTTAGAGCACTTGCCTTGCAAGTGAGTAGACCTGGGCTGGATTCCTGGCAGGACAACAACAACAAAATTCCATGTGTATAGCGCCTTTCATGTTGGGAGGGCGTCCCAAGGCGCTGGATAGTCAGTGTTTCGAACCCAAGCTGGGGATCGGGATTGGAGAGGGTGGAGGATGGTGGGGGGAAAGCAGGGTGAGCGAAGGCACAGTCGAAGAGGAGGGTCTTGAGATGAGTCTTGAAGGAGGCAAGAGAGGGGGCAAGGTGGAGGGACTGCGGGATGGAGTTCCAGAGGGTGGAGGCAGAGTGGATGAAGGCCCACCTGCCAATGGTGGGGTGGGCGAAGCGGGTGACATAAAGCAGGCTGGAGCCTGCTAAGCAGAGGGACTGGGCAGGTTGGTAGGGGTTTAGGAGGTCACTAAGGGGGAAGCAAGACCATGGAGAGCTTTGAAGGTGAGGACCAGGATCTGGAACTGTATCCTCTGCGTGATGGGAAGCCAGTGGAGTCGGGCAAGGATGGGGGTGATAGGGTCACAGAACCTGGTGCGGGAGGGGACATGATCTGGATGATCTGCAGCCTATGGAGGGAGGATTGGGTGAGGCTGACGAGCAGGGAATTTGCATAGTCAAGCCTGGAAGTTATAAATGCGTGTCTGAGGACAAAACCTTGGGCAAGTTTCCTCACTCCGCACACCTCTGTTTACCTAACAGTAAGTAGGAACCTGTTTGTTAGTCGATAGGCAGATCGCTTTCCGGGGGTAATAATCCCTCAAAACAAAGTAAATAAATGTGATCACTCAATCCACGACTGTTTATGGGACACTGTTGTGCACAATTGGCTGTCTCGTTTTGTCCACAAAATACACAGTCAATCCACTTTACAAAGATGACACCTTAAACATGAGGTTCCGTCTGCCTGTTCTGGTGGATGTTAAAGATCCCATGGCATTATTTAAAAAGAGAAGGGAGTTTTTCTCTCTCCCCGTGTCCTGGCCAACAATCCCCCAAACAAAATTTGGCCATTCACTCCATGGCTGTTTGTGGGACGCAGCTGTGTGCAAATTGGCTGGTGCGTTCATCCACACAAAAAACAGTCACACCAATTTACAATATATGATGATGATAATAATAATAATAATAATAATAATAATAATCCTTGCATTGTTATAGTATCTTATCACGTAGTTGAGACGCACTTCAAGGAATATATTATAAAGTGGATTGACTGTGTACTGTGTGGGCGAAACATGGCAGCCAGTTGCATGCAGCAGTGTGTCCCACCAACACTCGTGGGATGCAGTGATCACAGTTATTTATTTAGTTGTGAGGGATTTATTGCTACCAGAAAACGATCTGCCAATTGACTAGCAGCCAGTTTCCTACTTACTGCTAGGTAAACAGAAGTGTGTAGAGTAAGGAAACTTGCCTGAATTTTGCTCCCCCACAAACAGTGTCTCACAAACAGCCATGTAGTGAGTGACCACATTTTTTTTTAATATCCTGTGAAGCAATTTGAGACGTCCTCCTGATGCGAAAGCTGTTGCATCAAACGTAACTGGTGTTATGATTGCTGGACCGACCGGCCAGTGGCTTGGTGACTCAGATGAGCTCCAGCGTTGACGGAGATCCCCAGTGGGGTTTGAATGGGTCAGAACGCTGCCCTTTTTACCTCTTCAAAGAGAGAGGAGTTTCTTCTGGGGCCTCTGATAATGCAACGTTTTCAGGGCTATGGGGAGAGCGCGGAGAATGGGATTGATTTGGTTAGCTCTTTTCAAAGAGCCGGCACAGACATGACAGGCCGAATGGCCTCCTTCTGCGCTGTATAATTCTATGATACTCTGAACGTTGATTGGTCCTGCACTGCACTGGAGTGTCAGCCTGAACTATTGTCATTACCTCATGGAACCCGTGTGTTAAGAGCTGCCCTCAATGTATATCATTTATTAAAGCAAAAAATACACAGCCAATAAATTTTACAGTAAATCCCATGAAGCGCTTTGAGACATCTCGAAGACATGATAAGGCACTATATCAAATGCAAGGAATATTATTAGAAGAATTTTCGGCCAGGAAAAATTTGTGCCTGAGCGGAACTCTGTTCATGAACCCCAAAATATATTCTTCATTTCACTTCCTGAAATTGTATGGATAAAGTTTGCACTCGTAAACTGAAAGCGGTTTTCTTCCACCATGATCACAAATAACCCTCTTCCCCAAAGTGTTTCCTTCCTCTTTGAAAGACTGAGAGGTCACCCTGATTAACCCATCATCTTGACTCTCGTTCACCTCAGATTCAGTGGTGAATGTGTTCAGTTCGTTCCAGCTGGTGGGTCGAGCTCGGAGTTGCCTTGCTCCCTTCGGACTGTTTTTGCAAATTTGCTTTGGTCGATAACCAGAGGACACAGGTTTAAGATAATTGGCAAAAGAACCAGAACAACAGCTTGAACTTATATAGTGCCATCCAGCAGGTTGTCATGATCTGAAATGCACTGCCTGAAAGCGAGTTGGAAGCAGATTCGCTAATAGCTTTGAAAAAGGAATTGGATATGTATTTGAAAAGGAAAATTTTGCAGGACTATGGGGTAAGAGTGGGGGAGTGGGATTAATTGGTAGCTCTTTCAAAGAGCCGGCAAAGGCATGATGGGCTGAATGGCCTCCTTTTGTGCTGTAGGATTCTATGATTCTAATCCTAAGCAATTTACGCTTGTACAGTGCCTTGGGAGGACGTCTCAAAGCACTTCACATGATTCACTGTAAAGTGCACTAACCGTGTACTTTGTGAGGGAATCTGGCAGCCAATTTGTGCACAGTGACCATTCCCCCCCCCCGCAAACAGCCATGGAGCGAATGAACAATTTTATTTGGGGGATCAATGGCCAGGACACTGGGAGGAACTTTTCTCCACAGGGAGAAACACTCAATAATGTTATAAGGCACTATATCAAATGCAAGGAATATTATTAATAATGCCATAGGAACCAGAACAACAACTTGAACTTATATAGTTATAATAATGCCTTTAATGTCCACCTGAACAGACAGGACCTTGATTTAACATCTCATCCGAAGGACGGCGCCTCTGACAATGCAGCGCTCCCCTCAGCACTGTATTGGGAGTGTCAGCCTCGACTGGGTGAGCTCAAAGTCCACGTGTGGGGTCTGGGTACACAGAGTGCCACCAACTGAGCCAAGCTGTGATGCTTATACTAATAATCCTCACTTTTGATACAGCGCCTTATCGCGTCATTGAGACGTCTCAAAGTACTTCACTGCTGTACCCATAAGAAGGGAAGAGATACCTCATCCTGCAAATATGCGCGTGAGTAAGGAGGGAGGCGTGTGGGACATGAGATGAGCGCGTGGAATAGTCTACCAGCAAACGTGGTGAAACAAGAGGCAACATGATTTCAAAAGGGCACCAGACAAATTCTCAGCAACTAAAAGGATTCAGAGTTACTGTATGAGGTTTCGAGATGGACACTGTGCAAATCGTGTGGGACAGTGGATGGGTAGACACATGGCACCTCTTTGTACTCCTGCCTGAAATTGTTACCGTACCACTAGACTAACTGTATTGCTTTGTTACGGTGTCAGTACTTTAGTGTGTTCTCAACGGGTTACAGTATTATTAGATTAAGAGGTTCTTTCGGATGTTACTGGGAATAAGATATTTTTACGTTCTGAGGAGTAACTAACTGAGTTATAAGGCTTTTTGTTGAGATTAGAGCTAACAGGATTGGAGGTCGTTGCTAAAAGTCATGATCGTGTTAATACTAATCTAGAGTAACAGTCGCAGGTCAGCGAGTCATTAATGAGAGGGCACAAAATTGAGGTAATCATAAAATGGGGAGATGAGAGAGAGAGAAAAAAGGGGTTGAATAAAAGGGCAAGAGAGAGAAAGATGTTTTGGTCAGATGGGTGTCTGACACATATGGACATTGTGTTTGAGTATCCAAACCAGACTGTGCGTGAGAGAGAAGTAAAATCTTTATAAGAAGGTAGTTGACACATGGAATTCTCTACCATCAACTTGTTGAAGCAGTCTGTAAATTCTTTTGAAAAGGGAATTAGATAGACCCTCGAGACAGAGAATATACAGGTGCAATAATATTATTATTATGAGTGGTTTGGATTAGATTAGGCAATTCGGGGAGAAAATGCAGCGTAAAGGAAACGTACGGAGTTGTCAGAGATGCCGTCCTTCAGATAAAAAAAAGGTTAAACCAAGTCTGTACCTGAACAGGTACATGTTAAGGATCCCTCAACACTATTAATAATAATAATAATAATAATAATCCTTGCATTTGATATAGCGCTTTTCACGTCGGGAGGACGTCCCAAAGCGCTTCACAGAACACACTGTAAAGTGAATTGACTGTATATTTGTGGGCGAACGCGGCAGCCAATGGCGCACAGCAATGTCCCACAAACAGTCTTAGATTGAAAATGACCAATTTATTATTGTTTTTGGTTTTGGAGGGA